TCCAACTTCTTTTTATGATTTCTCTCAATCTAGGTATTGACTCGAGCTATATCTTATATCAAAATGTGCGGCTCGATGAGATCTACAACATATCCAAATTTGGGCTCAATTGGACTTCGAATGAGTGAGTTATGATCTTTGCAAGTCAATTCCGAAATTAAAAAGAGTAGTTTCCCTAAATGGAAATTGGTTCATTGAAGGCATATGTGAATAGTATGAAACCCACCCATTTTAGGTAAGTTCGTCTTAGAATGGTCCAAAAGCATCTAAACGAGCTGAAAATTGGTATATGGGGGTTTCTGAGCCTTCCAGATTCAATGGAGGTGGCCTGGTACTCATATGAGACCTTGACAGTATAACTCCAATTATGAGTACTTTTCAGCATGATAGAAAGCGGTTATGCGAAATGTAAATTCCGTCATTATCTGCTTTATCCTAATCGGATTGGGACGAAACTTGGCGAGCAATTTTAAAACACCAAGTGCCATTCTTTTTTTCTTTTTAAGGTCAATCCGACACCTTTTCAAATCCTTCCAAAATTAGGCTTATTCTGATTAGTTTGTCATGCCCTTGCCCCCTGACCCCTACTTTACTTGCCGAAGGGCGACAGAGTGCAGGATCACGACCGGAGGTGGCAAACGCAACTCAGGTGGGAGTGGCTCAACGCGTATAGAAATACGGAATCAAAGCAAACCACGAAAGAAAATAAAACTCATTCACCAAGCTCAACAAAACTGAACAGAATATAAAACCATAAGGACCATTTTATATATAAATTCCCCAAAAAATTCTTTTATAAGTATGTTCAAGGAACTACAGGCTTGCTAACAAGATTTCAGTACTTCATCAAAACAACATTGTGGCACCAGACACCTACTATCAAAAGGTTTCCCCTGCCAAGTCTCAAGTTTTACATGTTTGCCACCAATGTCCAAGTCTCCACTCTCGAATGGTCGGTTATCACTCTACATAGATGGAAAAATGGAAGGAATGAGCTAAAAGCCCAGTAAGTAGATTACTACCATTGTATTATAGCCTATACATGTGTAATGACGTAATAATATGGCCCACAATTCTTACAGGCATCACAAGGTGGAGTCATGCATCACAATTCATTAGTAGTGTAAAACAAAATATGATTCAGATGTTAGGGTATATCATAGTCACAGTATCACAGTATATCACAGTCACAGTATCCCAGTACCAATGGGTGACCCATTGCGTAGTGGTTAGTATCACAGTATATCACATTCACAATATTACAGTAAATCACAGTATCCTACTACCAATGGGTGACCCATTGCGTAGTGGTCAGTATCACAGTCATAGTATCACAATATATCATAGTCACAGTACCACATTTTATTGCACTGTGTTTATGCATGCTCACACATTCATTTGCTCATGCTTTGCTATTTTCAAGAATTCAGGAACATTCATAGTATCATAAGCATGTATTTTCAGTATCTCATGACAGTTAACTAAGCATCATTTGGTCAATCAAGAATTCAGTATAAGGGTGGAATACAGTTCCGAAATTTCTGCAATTTTTTAAAGTAACATGTCCCACAAACAGAGGCGTAGCTTTCAATTTACACGAAATTTTTTTATGGTTTCAAAACTTATTTCAAAGTGGATACATACATCTTTCAAATAGCGGTGGTTTGAAAGCAATTGGACTCCATTTGGTCAGCCAAAAGCTCCTGGAAACATAAATGAACTTCTAAAATCTGCTGCATTTTACTAACAGTGATATGTCCCTCTTAATAGAGACATAACTTTCAGTCTAGAAGATATTTCAAAATGATTTCAAAACCAAAGTTTGAATAAACACATACATATTTCAAATGGCGGTGGTTTGAAAGCAATTGGACTCCATTTGATTAGTCAAAAGCTCATGACAACAGAAGCAATAGTTTTGGAATTTATTGAAATCTGTTAACAGTGACATGCTCTCACAAATCAAAGCATAGCTTCTAATTTATAAATAATTTCAACTGAGAGGAACGTCAAACGAAGTATCCTCATCTTTCTGCTAGACCAACACCCCTTCTTGGTTTCGAACGGAAGGTACATACCAGTGTTCAAACAATCGAACCGGCCTCCAAAACTAGCAAGGGCCGATACCGAGTAACCGGTAAACTAGCTGGTTCAACCGGCCTAATTGGTCAATTCCTGGTCGTTCAAAACAATGTTAAAAAAAAAAAAATGATTGTATACATTAAGACCATTTACATTTTGTACAAGGAGGTCACAATTGCTTATAACCATCTGATGTGAAATTTGACTACTTGAGAGTCTCATTAAATTCAAGAAAATTTATTTTGAACTTTGTGTTTGGTCAATGAAATAATCCAACCAACCAATTTTATATCCAAAGGTCAAGATTAATTGTGACCATTTTGTACAAAAGGAAAATGGTTTCATTGTATACTTTTCAAAAAAAAAAAAAGTGGAAAAAAATAATCGAAAAAGTATATTTAAACATGATTAAACAAAGCATCATCAAATGAAGTTGAAAATTAGTAAAAAAATGGATTTATTGTGCCCAGGGGTATTTTTTAAATTTTCATAAAAGATGGAAAAAATATAAAAATAATTATTAATGGCTAAAACACTTTCCAATCTTTGCCAAAATCATGAAAAACATTAAAAAATGCATTGCAAACAAATTCTTATTTTTTAAAATTTTATATAATGTTTTATAAAATATCCGGCCACATCACGAAAATTAGCCAATGACCGATTCCGATCTAACCAGACGGTCCCAATTTGAACCGCCCGATTTTACAAACACTAGTAGAGACCTTTGAGATGAGGGTGTCAAAATAGAACCCATCAACGGAAGGTCATTGAATATGACACTTGGCATTGCCCCATAAAAAATTTAAGCTACCAATCCAAACCCTAGCAAGAGGTCACCTCTCACATAACTGTGCAACCTCTTTCATCAGTGGAGTTCAGTTAGATAAAGCTAAGACTAGAAAGGAAGACGGTATTTGGAAGAAGATAAGGCAAAAGGAGGAAAAAAGAAATGACACAAAAAGAGAAACGGTTGGGAGCAAAGCATTGGAAAAATTTATATAAGGTTGCAACCTTAAAATGTACAAGTAAATGGGCACTTAAAAAATCCATTAGAAAAGATTGTTTTAATGTTGAAAAGTTCTCTAATTGATCATCTCGATATTACAACGTATGAATATGAAGAAAAAAAAAGATTTTGAGTCCCAAAAATAGCGCATCTTACAACATATTATCTAGACCATCCATTCTCAAAATTTTCATATATTTATATATCTACTTGATTTTAACTATTTTTTGAAGTTTAAAATTTTATAATTAGATTTGAAAATAAATTTTGAGATATCTATAGAATTTTTTAAAATAAAAATATATATTATGATAAAATTTGAAAGTACACTTTAATTGGATTGTTTAAAATTGCAACCTTATAGAAACCAAACCCGCAAAGCAAAAGGCAAAGTGTTTGTTTTTGGTGGGTGTAGGTGTAGGTGTAGGGCTAGGGCTGAGGCATGTTATGTTAGGAGAGGAAGGGAAACTGCTGCAACCAAAAAAAGTGGCGCACCCAACCCCACCTTTGGCCCCAAAACTTGTTCCACAAGATGAACTGGGTTGGAGGGTGGACCTGTAACCCTTTCAACAAGGCCTTCTAGAAACCCTAGAACCCAACTTCCTCGTTTAAAAATTCAAGGCCGCAAACCGTGCACCAAACGGCAGATAAAATAATCAGAAAGGGGTTCACTTCGTATGTTTTATTTTTCTCTTTTTTTAAAGAGAACGGGGGTTTGTAGTAGTAATCTGCCTGCTTTTAAATCATTCAAAGATGGAAAGTTTGTATTATTTTATGTATCACACTTGCTTAGGAAGTTTACCGTTTCGGTGTAGAATAGCCACGTGGAATTATCGAATCCGACCACGCAATGGCCTATAAGAAAAGCGAATTTGTGAAAGGAGTTTGAGAGGCAAACGAGGGTTAATAATTATTAATATTTAAGATTTCATTAGGGGATTGAGCAATCATATAGCTATGCAAACCCGGCCTTATTGGAATAGGGGATGAGTTAGGGTGGTAGTACTTTTACATTTTAGTCACTACGTTGTGATTTGCATTTCCTAATACTTTAACAAAACTAACTCTTAAATTATTTGAAAAACTAATTCGTAATTTGTTTGAAGAAAATGAGCATGTTTTCCATATTGAATTACCAAAAAAAGAAACAAAAACCTATGGCATCATGGTCATATCCTTACCTTAAAGGCTTTGGGATTTTTGATAAGGGCGTCGTTTGTATAAGGCTGAGGCTCTAAACAATCAAAACAAGGCGTATCTTCAAATAAAAGTTGAAACTATTTTTTTTCATGTCCTTGCATCTTGAGGTCGAGATGATCGATCGGATAATTTTTGTGCATCAAAAAAACCTCATCTACTAAATTTTTCATGTGCACCTTAATTTGATTATTTAGAACCTCACACTTATATAAATTTTTTCCTTTCGATAATGCTTTCAAAGTAACATAAAAGGGTCAGGGCATTTAGGTGATGCTTTCCAAATGAAGGGGCTCTTTCTCACAATCTCTCAAATATAAAGCAGTTGTTGTGGGGGTCTCTCTCTCTCTCTCTACTTGGTGTCATCATTGATGTTCATGTGAAAAGAAAGGAAAAATGAAAGCATGGAAGGTAGGGTAGGGTAGGGTAGTGTAGTTTCTCTCTCCATCAAACCAACAAGTCGAGTGTCAGTACTGAGTGAGTCCGACGTAAGACTGCCGGATCCATGCCTTCTAGTCCAACCTAAAACGCACCAAGATCTACACCTCTCTCTCTCTCTAAAAATCCTCTCTTTCTCTCTCTAAATAAATAACACCGCTTTTCCACCTACTCAACCTTATCAATATACTTTCTCTCTCTATCTCTCTCCTTTCCCTGATTAAATATGCCCCACCAGCCAGTCCCTGCGACCTTTCTCACCAACTCATCCCTCCAGAACCCCACAACAAAACAAACAAACAAACAAACATCAAAATCCTCCCCCTCTTTCCTCTTCTCCTCTTTCAAATCACTGTATAAAAACCTACACTCATTACTCTCCCCCCACCTGATCCCTACTCAAAACTCCCCTCTCTCTTTCTCTCTTTAAACACTGAATACTTCTCAAAACTCCCCCACTTTCCCTCTCTCTGTGTTTTTTATTGTAGTGAGAGATGGGTAGGTCTCCTTGCTGTGAGAAAGCACACACTAACAAAGGGGCATGGACAAAGGAAGAGGATGAGCGGCTGATTTCTCACATACGTGCTCATGGGGAGGGCTGCTGGCGCTCACTGCCGAAGGCAGCGGGGCTCCTGCGCTGCGGTAAGAGCTGCCGGCTTCGTTGGATCAACTACCTTCGCCCCGATCTTAAGCGGGGTAACTTCACTGAAGAAGAGGATGAACTTATCATCAAACTCCATAGCCTCCTTGGCAACAAGTAACCACAACCACCCTCTCTCTCTCTCTCTCTGTTTTCTACTTGCTCCTTTGTCATGAAATTTTTAAACAAAACATTGCTTATTTCCTTTAAAAAAAAATAAAAAAATGAACCCTCAAACTCTGTTGATCAAGTAAGATCCCTCTTCTCTAGTAATTTTGCATTCACAGTTTTGGACTCTTGTCCTTTTTGGCTTTATATCTCTTTACATGCTCTTAACATTTTGTAGAATTCGAAATTGAGTCTCTTCTTCTATGTGTTTAGGTGGTCTTTGATTGCTGGAAGGTTACCAGGGAGAACAGACAATGAGATTAAGAACTATTGGAACACCCATATTCGAAGGAAATTGCTGAGCAGGGGAGTCGATCCCCTTACTCATCGCCCCATCAACGGAAAAGTTGCAGAGCCCAACACCACAACCACGATCCCCTTTGTCGAAGACAAGAGTGCGACAAATTCGGAAGAAAAGACAGAGATGTATGAAGATAGAGAAGAGGAATCTCCAGGATTTGATCTCAACCTTGACCTCTGCATTAGCCTTCCCTATCAACACCAACAACAACAACAATCCCACCCTTCACAGAGGAGGGGCCTCTGTTTGTGTTGCAATTTGGGGTTACAGAAGAGCAAAGATTGCAGTTGTAATGAGTTTCTTGGAGTCGAGACTGGCTGCCTTGACTATAGAAGGCTGGAAATGAAATGAAGAAAAGCCAAACCAAATTCACCTAATTTTTGTAGCGAAATTAACCCTTCTTTCTCCTTTATGATGCCTGACATTATGTTTTCTGATCAGAAGAAATGACCTCTCTCTCTCTGTCTCTCTCTCTCTCTCTCCGCTTTGAAAAATTGGTGATATGGATCGGATCAGGCCGATTCAGATCGGATATTGGTTGAGTTGATCTGCATCCCATTAAATATAAGGAATCAGCGGTTTCCCCAATAGATCGACCGGTCAGTACTGCTTCTGTCGGAGAATAGGCATCAACCGGCTGCACATTTTTTAATTTTGTTCTTATTTTTGTCGTAGTTGAATTGCCGGTTCTGCTCGGTTCTCTTACATAAACCAATGAGTAAGAGAAGTGGTTCGAATCGGCCCCACTTAATTTTTTAAAACATTTTTGGAATTGCCGATCCTTTTAATCAGATCGGAAATTAAGAGAGGCGATGTGAGTCACCAGTCCAATTGTTTAGTACTTGGAAAGGAGAAAGGAAATAAACTTGAAGGACATGAAATAGTTTAATTTGGCCTTTCAAAACTTGCTTCCACGAAATCGATCTTTAGGCGTCCAACTTCAAATATCTTTGAATTCTTTAGGTGCAATTTCTAAAGTTAGGCCTCTAATGTATTTTATGAGGCCCTTTTCTTAAGGATTGTCTACAAACAAACTATTCACTTTTATTATAATGAGTTCACAACTATTTTCTTTAATTAGATATTAAATTGGATGGTTTAGGATGAGTCACAAAGTTTGATAGTTTTTTTGAAACTTTATATCTAGTCTTACAATGATTTATTTTAAAATTTAAGAGACAAGAGTGATTGTGACCTCTTCGGTGTGATAAGAGAGGGCACTGAAGGGCTGGATTTTCTTTCATTTGTGCCAGCCATGGTGATAAGGAGTGAGAGAAGTCGCATCATATTGGTTAGTACTGGTCCATTTAATAGAGGAAAAAGTTTATATAGAGTTGAGGCTCTAAAGAATCAAATTAAAGCCCACTTAAAAAATTTCAGTATCAGATTGCTTTGATGCTCAAATATCTTCAAATTGATCATCTCGACATCAAGATGTATGGACATAAGAAAAAATTGATTTCAAGTTTTGGAAGTTTTCATAGATTTATTCGATCTATACTATTTTTGAAGCTTGAAATTTTATAATTAAAGATAAAAATACATTTTAAAGCCATCCCAAAGATTTTTAGTATGGAAACCACATTTCTCAACACTATTTAAAAGTATACTTTGCTTTGATTGTTGAAGCCTCCTATCTATACAAACCACATCCTTTAATAAGAGGATGACCTTTCTTTTATTTATTAGATAAAATAATTTCATGGGACATTGACTCACGCTAGAGAGATATGCATGTGGAAAAGGGAATGGGATTTCCGCGTGGTCACACTTCAATGTCATGTCTTTTTTAATTGGGTTAGGGTTGCGTATGCCCCCACATAACCTCCCACCCTTCACTTCCACTCTCACATATCAATGTATGTTCGGGGTTGGGTCTAACAAACATGAGAATATCTTTTCTTATCTTTCTTTCTTATGTGCTCTGCCATGGTTTCCACTTCTGTTTTGTAATAGGGAGTCCAGAGGGCACGAAATCTGATTCACTGTTATGGCTTAAGTTACACTCGAATTAGATCGGTGTATTGATTGATAGAAGAAAGAAGAGAAATGGGGAATGGTCAATTTTGGGGATGTTTGGCTTGTTCCGAGCTGATTCTAGAGTGCAATTGTTTAAAATTGATATCCATCCTTCACACGCACATAAAGTACGGGGATGGGTATGTTTGGTTTATATATTAGGCAAATTATAGATGCTTCTCAAAATGAACTTTGCAGACATTGTACTGCTCAAAACTTATAGTATCATACTCTAAACTCTTCCCTGTTTTCTTTTTGTTTTTACTCTCTAGACAAAAAGTAAATCATTTAAAAATTAAACTATCGCTCCACTCTCTTTCTCTCTCGAACTGCCCTCTCTTTCTCTACCCACCCTTTCTCTCTCTCTCTCTCTCTCTCAATGTGCCGGACCGCAAAAAAAATCAACAGGTAGATAAAAAAGAGAGACAGAGGGCGGGTAGAGAGAGAGAGAGGGTACAAAGAGAGAGAGGGAAGCATAGTTTAGTTTTAAATTATTTACTTTTTGACAAGGGAGTAAAAGCAACGAAAACAAGGACTAGGTTTACGGTGTTTACAATGTGATACTAAAAATATTGAGCAGTAAAATGTCTACTAAATTCATTTTGCAGAGGTATATGTAATTTTCCCTGTGTATTTGACTTATACTCTAGTTGAGGATATTTGCTTTGATAATACATAATGGTAAAATAAAATTCCTAAAACCAATCCCAATATTTGCTTTGATAATACATAATGGTAAAATAAGATTCCTAAAACCAATCCCAAATGGTTGAAATAAGGGTATGAGATAATGATGAGGATAATAGCAAAGCAACTACTCCTCCCTAAAACTATGGTTAATTTCCCTATAGGGTGAGGCTCTAGTTATCCCCACACATTATGCTTTGGAGTATATAATCTTATGGAAATAAGAGGATTATTTCTAAGACAGTGGAAAGCAGTTCGGTAATATGGAATTGAAATGTTCAGAAGGTGACATATTTGTTCCCAAGTTTGCATGAAAATTACAACACCACCCTCAAAACGTCAGGCAGAGGACACTTTATTTGTGAAGTTTCAAACAAAACAATGGGGCTCTCCCCCACATTAGTTGCATCCAACATGGAGGTTGGACGGTTGACAAGTTGTACCAATCTAAGAAAGTCATTGAAACTAAAATGGTGGAGTCCATTTATTACGTGTGAAAATATTTATGTGAAAGTATATTCAAGTAGAAAAGCACTTTAATATGATAGGTATGAAAGTTTTTTCATATCAATTATTTCCAACGCATTTTTTGCACCAATTGACACAACTTACTAATATGAAAAAAAAAACTCCCACACCTAATCGCATGAGGTTTTTTCATGTGAATACTTTCACGAAAGTGGTTTTATACGTATAATTTTAGGATTTCGTGGCAATGATACAACCACATATCAATGGTGAGGCCTAGAAATAACCATAGTGAAATTCGATTTTTGGTATGCTTCTAGAATTAGATCTATTTCACAAAGAAAGTACATTTTATGGAGAATAGCAAGTGGGGCCTCCATACTTGGGGAAAACATGAGACAAACCAATAGGATGGGTATTGATAGCAGTAGGTGAGAAAAGCAAAAAGGCAAAGCAACCGCGAGAAAGAGAATCGCTTTCAAGCAGTGCCTTTGCTTTCGTCTCCTCCTCCTCCTTTTTCAATGAAACCAATGCATGTTAGGTAGACTCACACAAGCATCCAGGGTACTCACCCCTTTGCCGACGCGAGTTATTCTGCCGTGTCTGTAGACTTTTAGCTCCCACCAAAAGGCTCTAAAAGATTTATGCAAATTTTGAAAAGTAAAAAAGTGTGTTAAGTATAAATTCAAATCTGAGACACCTTTAAAGAGTCAAAAGAATATCAAATTAAGAGGACAAACTAAGACCGAAGAAAAAAGAATTTGCAGATTGGGATACTATTGAAAAATTGAAACAAAAAACATATAAAAACGTGATTATGGCCAAAAAACACTCACCAATCGTTATCATATACATCTAAATCATGTAAGAAAATTTTGTACAACATGTTTTATTTTTTATAATTTTTTGATTTCTTTTAACTTTTTTAAATGCCCTGGGTTGTACGCACAACTCGAGGGTGCTCGGCCTCGCCCCTAGGATGAGGCCATGTAATTGGACCTAGTGCATGTTCATATTATTGCTAATACTTTCATAACAAACAACGCTCCAAAACGCTTATGTTTTGTTTGGCTTTAAACTGGGGAACAAATTAAGGGCTCTGCTCAAGATATAATCTCACCACCTTCTGTCACAACCAATTAATTTTTGTATTGGATTAAAAATCGAGAAAAGGGGGCCAAAAATATGGCCCCAAAAGTTTATGGATAAAATTACATAAGTGGCCTTCATCTTTAAACAATATTCAGTGCATACTATCAAAAACAAAAAAGAGGCAAATTTCATTGTTCTGCATGTTGATGAGTGTGTGATAGTATTGAGTACGGGATTTGAGGTGAACCAAGTGCACCAAATTGCAGATGCTACATTACTTTCATAGAAGCCTCAAGAGAATCATTAAAGAGCTCAACAGTTCAATACTTCCGAATAAGTCAATCCCACTTGGAATACGATAACAAGCCATCCATAATACAAGGGAAAAGTTAAAATCCATATTTTCACTAGAAGAGGCTCTTTTGAGGTCTGCATATCTTCAAGTTGATCATCTCGACATCAATATGCATGGACATAAAAAAAAAATTGGATTTTAAGTTTTGGAAATAGCACATCTTCTAACGTAATTTTGGTCGGTCAATTTTGAAGATTTTCAAGTTTTCATAGATCTACTCGATCTACACTATTTTTGAATCTTTGAATTTTATAATTAAAGATGAAAATATATTTTAAGTCTATCAAAAAGATTTTCAGTATAAAAACCACAGTTATCTTTGTTACAAAAAACTCACAATCACTTTTAGTCAGTAGATGTTAAATTAAGCGGCTTAGGGTGTGTCATGAAGTTCAAGAATTTTTTTTGTTTCCCTTTGTCGTTGAGTCTAGTCAATGGCACTTTTACAACCACTCGATTTGAAATATAACTGATAAGAGTGATTATGACTTTCATTTACAAAAAATAAATAGTCTATATATATATATATATTTATTTATTTATTTTACTACAATTTATCATTAACCATTGATGGGGACTATTTGAAAAATTGTAATCCCTAGAATATGGGGAACCGACTATTTAGGTTTTATCTTGCTTGACCAAAACCCCTGGATGCTTCTTCTTGTTCTCTAATGCTACTAATCACAAATTTACACCTCCAAACAGCATTCAGTAATTATAAACCGTAGCAATTGCTATTCGGTGCGTCACACAAGTTCCATCTATACTGGATGCTAATTTAAGGCTTACCAACCATATTATTGTTGCTTGGAAGTATTGGCAAAAAATAATATTTCTCCCACCAATAATTGATGGGTTGGAGGGGACAGCAGCTGGTGGGGGCAGTGACCTCATCTCTCTCTCTCTCTCTTTTAAAAAAAATCAACTGCCCACCAACTCCTTCTCTGCAAAGTGGTTGGTAGCT